AACTCCCAAGTAGAGGAGAGAGGTCTTCCAGCGTCACACAGTGTTTTGACTGCTCTTCCCATTATTGTGTGCCTTGGATAGGTGCTGGGGGTCTTGCTCGGTAAAATCCTAGTGACGCTTCAGTCATCTGGAGCAGAAAATTGCCCCAAGGGAATCGGTGTAATGATAGTTTCTCAGGAATGAGGTCAAAAAGTTGACTTGCACCCTAAAAATGGGTGGTGGTGGGTGGCCTCCGTCTGCCTTCATGATGAGTTGCAAGTTATTTGGGCTTGGTGGTGTTTCGTGTAAAAGTATTTATGTGCGGCTTTTGTTTGAGGATGGTGTTGGGAGAAGTCACTCTGCGTCATCCCCAAAGCGCTGGGTGGATGCAGTGGGATGCCAGAAACCCATCTGCTCCTGCAAAGCCTAATTCTTCCTTAGACTTTGATTTCAAGCAGGACTTCAGACTTTATTCTTTAAATGACTCTTTGTGGATTGTGGTATTGAAATGTTTATCGTTTTTGCCCAGCTGCTGACACAAGGCTCTCTTCCAAGGAGAGAACTGGGGCCGATAGCTGGAGATGCCATGCTCCTGCCCAACATGCTCTTGGTTTGCTTGCTCAGCGCTTTCGGCAAAGCGCTGCCCGAGCAGCGAGACGGTTCTGCCTGCGGTAGTGTCTGCAGACGTGGTTGAAACATCCCCCCTGCAAAATGCATCCATGAGGCGGTGGCCGGCAGATCTCACCTGTGTTTGTACCTCTTGTCTGTACCTAATGGGAGACCCTGCTGGGTAGGAAACGGCTTTTTTTCCAGCTTTTGCTTTCTGGCTGGTGGAGTTGGCTTAGTTGGGAGGGGAACGGGGGCCCAGTGATTTAAACCAAGTTCTGACAGCAGTCTTCCAACACTTGCTTAGCAAAGTTTAATATCTCGACATGCCCAAGTCCTGTTGACTTTCTGCCAAAAGCTAATCATGGGTGTCCTTACCAGGCAATGCCACCAAATACAGGAGGCCAGGAGCTTTCCTACCATGTGCCAATGCTGGCGCGATGGAGACGGCAAGAACATCGTGGGGAGGGAAGGGCAGGAGCGGAGGGACACAGCTCCGTTAGTCCATCTCAAGCTGTGGTTTGTGACTGCTCCCAAAGGCTTTTGTTTCAGGAAAAGCTTTTTGTTGCCAAAACTAATCCTGTCCCTTCCCTCAGCTGCTCAGCTTTGGTTCAACACCTCCCTTGAGCTGGGCCATACTGCTGTGGGTTGAGGGAAGCCCACTCAACTCCAACCCAACCTTTGTTGTGCTAATGCATGAGTTGTGTCTGGTGGAAGGAGACAAGTGCTTCCTGCAGCCATTTTGGGGCAATACTCTCCAAGTTTTTTTGCATGTTGAAATGAGAAGCAGGACATGGTTGATTTCTGTGCCTCTCCGACTTGTGTTGTCCAGCTCAGTGTTTCTTACAGATTGCTGGCAGCCTTTGGGGAAGAAGAGGCAGAAAAAAACTACATGGCTTCCCAGAGATGCAGGAGCAGAGCTCAGATTTCCTCCTCTTAGTCACCACCACTCCACTATTCTCCCCCAAAGGGACGAAAACCTTGTTTCAATTCCCCCTCCCTCCATTCAGTTGAGGGTTTTAACGCAGCGAGTGCCGATAAGACGGTTAGCTACAAACTTTGGTCTCTGCGTGATCCATTACAGAGCAAGGTGTGAGTGTTTCTTGATGAGCCAAAGCAGCAGGTAAATTAACACCCAGTCCTGGAGCTTTGCCCATCTTGGGCACAAACAAAAGGGTTTCTTGCAGTCCCCAGTACCCCGCAGGATGAGGATCCTTACCAAATGGCTTTTTAAAAAGAATTGAAAGCAGGTAGCAAACACACAGTTTTAAAGTGTCTCCTTAATACAAGCATCCTTAGGAGCTGTTTTAAGGAAAACATACATATATTTGGTCATCCAAAACTTTATACATGCTTTTATTTAACTCGCATAAACTTGGACAGTGGGGAAAAAAACATGAAAGGCCTTTTTCCTGGCGCAGAGACTGTTTGCAGAGTTGGGTTTGCATGTTTGCAAGCAGATCTCAGTCTTCAGCTGAAACTTGTTCCAGAAAAGACAACTGCCTTGGGGGAGGGGAGCCTGGGCCCAGCACATGATTTAGCAGCCTTGGTTTGCTGGTCCCAGAGCCGATAAAGCTCTTGCTTCACGTCTTTTTAACATTTCCTTTTCAAAGCACAGTGGAAACGTCAAATCTCGCTGCAGCTTTGTGCATTGCATTGGCCCTTGTTTGCAGGTGGAGAAACCAGAGGCTACACAGTATTGCTCGAGGTTACAGACAGAGGTGGCTGAGCCAGGATTAGATTTTAGGGCTGCTTCTCAGGCACATGGTTCATTAAATCTTCCTGCTTTTTTGTGAGATGGGGCTGGGGAGGGAGAGGAAATTTCCATTCAGAACAAAAGCAGGATTCGGTTTGGAGTGATGGAAATAATATTATAAAATGTATTTTAGGGACTGGACCAGAAGGTGACAGTGAGTGTTAAGTATCAGCTAGAAGCCATGTGAAGTATTACAACGGAGCCAAGATATTTGCTTGTTCCTTTATAAATAAAAAGGTATCACTCTCCCTGCACACAAGACTACGCTCCTTCGCT